CTATTCTCAGCCCAAGGTGGAAGGACTACCTTTGTAGTTTTCTACACTCTTGTTCCTCATTTGTATTGCTCTCTGCTTTGGTGCTTTATCTTGGAGGCTCCAGCTACCACAGCCTCCCCAAACTCTGTTGATGGTTTTACCTCTGGAAAGCCATGGTACTTGCTGTCACTTCCCTGCTCTGCAACAGGGCCAGGGCAGATGCAGGCATTGTTAGTTTTGTTTACTGATCACTGTCCTGTTGTGTCTGTCTTGTTTGTAAAGTATAAAATAATTTCCATACTTTCTTTTTTTAAATCAGATTTTTAGTTTATCTAATCAATTTAAATAGAAAATCTAGTTTCAGGTAGCAGCCAATTTTTGCTCTATTTACTTTGTGACCAGAGGTGAGTAAGAGTCCTTGGAAGAGACATGGCTCAGAAGGTTTTTTGTTTGAGACTACAACTCCAGTGTTAAGGGAGTCTCACAGTTTTGGCCTACATGGGCACCTGAAATCACATGCTCATATCCATACTGATACACATACACACAATGAAAGAAAATAAATTTGCAAACAGTTTTAGGAGAATGAAGTAGTCAAATACGTATTTCATGAGGACTGTTTTGTTTTTTTGTAGACTACGGTGGGACGAGATTTAAAACAGTTGTCTTAATTTTCCTGTTGCTGTGATAAAAAGAGTCTGACTAAAGCTACTTTAGGAAGAAATGGTTTGTTTATTTTAGCTTATAATTCTAGGTTAGAAATGTATCGTAGTGGGGAAGTTAAGGCATCAGGAGTTTGCAGCAGCTGGTGACATGTCTCCAGTCACACAGAGCAGGGAAGGCAGGGATGCTGTTGCTCAGCTTGCTTTCTCTGCTCTGACACAGCCTGAGCCATGCCGTGTTCCCATCTGCAGAGGCAAGCCGTTCTACTTCAGTTAACACTTCATGACCTCCACAGACACCTCATCCTATCTCCCAGGTGGTTCTAGAATTGATGAAATTCACAGTTTAACACTAGCCATCCACTTGATTGATGTTGAAGGCCTATAGATGAAAGTGGTCGTGGGTGACTGTATTACAGAAATGGGAAACAATTTGAGAACTATATAGGAGGAATAAGGTAGTTCTGAGGTTTTTTAAAGGATGGAATCCCCAAGTATTGATAAAATGAAGATTTTTGTTGTCCCCTTTCTTTCATGAATTTCTATGGATGTAATTTAGACAGCCTTTGTGTTTATAAAAAGATAAAGCGAGTGGGGATATGTTGTATGGAGGTGTGGTGAGGTGAGGTGAGGCCTGCTAACAGTCTTTATGTTTATAGCACATGCTCAGTTGGATGCTTATGAACACCATGTAAAGTATGGCTGTCATTCCAGTAGCAGTCCTGAATTGAGAGACGTCCTGAAGTGGGATGAAGCTTCATATACCAATGTCTAGACATACTAAATCTGTGTTTCTTGATGGATAGGGTCTGGAATAGAAGCAGATACACAAAAGTACTCCACAGATATAATCTCTTTGGACTTCACAGTAGTTCCCTGAGGTAGAGGCAAATGCTATGTCCCATTTTACAGATGAAGAAATGAATGTAGGCAAAGTGACTATCAGTGACAGAAAAACATCCATTTGCTGCCAAATCTGATATCTCTCTCTCTCTGTTGAGCCATATATCTGGACCTGTAGAAGGCATCTACCTTAACTTGTGGTTTTGAACATTCCAGGGAACTGGGAGAATAGATTTTTGGGTTCTTTCTGGGTTTGTTTTGTTTGTTTGTTTGTGTATGTGTTTATGTTTTTGTTTTTTTGTCTTGCTTTATACCAAATAGTAATTTTCTTATTTTTTTAAATAGGAAGTAACTGAAAGAATCCCTAGGAAAGGTACTTATATCTTTGATCATTATCTTAATGATGTTTACAATTGATTGTTTAAAAAGATCATGTTATACAACACATACTTAGTATTTTTACTTAGAACAAATAGAGAATCATATATTAAAAGTGAGTCTATTGTATGGCATTTTATTTGATTTTCCCCCCACCAAGCCTTTAATAATACAAAATATTGCAGGATCTTGCAACTCAAGTTAGTTTAGGCTGGATTTTGTAATTTGTTTTTAATAGTATTCGTGCTTATCCCCTTGCTTTATGACCAGAGCTGATATTTTAATAGGGAAAGTTGCTGTAGTCTTTTTGAAGGGCTCTCGTGTGTCATGAATCTGAGGTCCTGTAATCCAATGAGCACAGTAGTCTAGTGTTCAGTGGCAAGTAGCAGAGAAGAGAATTCTTTGCAATGAAGATTAGTTTTTAGATTTGCTGTTGAATGCTTGAATAGCCCATGAATTTTATTAGTACAGGAAAACAACCAAAGCTTTGTAGCAAGGGTCGAATAAAATAAGGCTTTAAGAACGGGGCTTACATAGCTTGTTTCTATTTTGTTCATTTAAGAAACAAATAGCTATCTTTAAGCGCCTAGAAATGGTAGTTACTGAGATAAAAGAATTCAGATGAAAATGTTGTATTTGTTGTAACTCAAAAGTATTTTATCTGCTTTAGAAGTTAATGCAGCTTTTTTTTTGTGTGTGGAATGCCTAACTTAGAGATGCCTGTGAATAAACAAAGAGCATCTGGAAGATGGTATGAACATTTGGATCAGTTGAATTACCTTATTTTTAGGAAATTATTTGGCTTACTTCCATCCGTTTTTCTCTAGTTTTAAAAACAAGTTCTCACGGAGCTCAGGCTCTTAGCTATAGCTGAGGATGACCTTGAACTTCTTACCTCCTGTCTGCCTCTCAAGTGCTAAGACTGCAGGGGTGCGCCGTTACACTTAGTCTGACAGTTCTTTTATCCACAAACTAGGTATATGGTTACCTATGTTTTTTTAGATAGCTTTTTACTCTCCTACTGTGTAGGAATTGTACAGGCGTGACGTCTTTTATGATATAGATGAAGTAAGCATTGACACTTAAGACTTTGCTTTTGAAACACAGTATTTGTCAGGATTCAAGCAATCCTTCTGTCTGATAAGCAGCAACAACTCACAACTGAACCTGGTGACTTAGTTTTTGTTTGCTTGTTTGTTGTTTTTGTCATCCTTCTGATCACAGGAATGTATCGTTTAGTTATGTGATCACCAGCAGCTATAGTTTTTAAAAATGTTTGTTTGTTTGTTTGTTTTTTGAGACAGTTTTCTAGTCTCAGACTCAGAAATCTGCCTGCCTCTGCCTCCTGAGTGCTGGGATTAAAGGCGTTCACCACCACTGCCCAACATTAAGGACTTTATGTTTAAGAAATATTTGCACAGCTGTGTTTGAGAAGTGTTTTTTAGGTTTGGGGTGCTGGGTTTGACCTCGGGGCTCCTCACATGCTAAGTCCGATATCTCCAGCCATCCTCAGCCCTTTTGTTATTTTGAGACAAGATTTCACTGTCCAGGATGATGAGATGTATGTTTGTAATTAGACTCCTGAGTGTTGGAGTTATATTTAGAAGCTAATATACACCTAGCTTCACTTTATTTTGAGTCATTAATTTTCTGCTTATTCTGATAGATTAGTACTGTATAGTCTATGGTAAGATTACTATAAGAGAATAATTGATCAGACATTCATGTTTATTTTGTATGAGTATGTGTATAATGCTGGAAATCAGACCTAGGATTTTACTATTGGCCCTTTACTATTGGCCTGAACAATGCCAAAATTGAATAGGCCTGTTCAGCCCCTATGAAGAATTTTACGGTTATGTTTAAGAACTCATGATATGCCATCCCCTCCCCATTTCTGTATGGGTCAGCATGAGGTTTCTTCAATTGTTTTTCAACCTTATTTTTTGAGGTAGAGTCACTCACTGAACCTGGAGCCTTGCCAATTTGTTAGGCTTGCAGGCCATTAAGACCTGTTCCTCTCCCCGTCTCTTCCCAGCTTTAGGATTACAGGAATGTACCCCTGGGAGTCTGTGTAGGTCTCCTTTTTACTGAGTTCTTGTACCCTTGTTCTACCCTAGTTCCTTCCACCCCTCTCCCCCAACACTAGGTCAGAAAGAAAGAAGGTTAGAGGAAAAAGGGGGCTTAATCCTCCTTAAGCTACTTCCTGCTGATTAGGGGTATTGAGCTCCTTGGGGCAAGTCCAACTTCTTGTCCAATAGCAACCAGGAGCAGTAGAGGGAGCAGCAGTCTCTTCAGGCCCTCTCAGGTCTCTGCCATTTTAAAGACCCTAGAATTAAACTATCTTCAGGGGCAAAAATCATGCTAGTGCATGAGACAAATCATAATTACCTGCTGTGAAGCAGCCTTTTATCCCACACCTGGGATTAAAAAAAAATCATACTTATATAATATCAGATTTTTTTTTTTTGTTTTTTCGAGACAGGGTTTCTCTGTGTAGCCCTGGCTGTCTTGGAACTCACTCTGTAGACCAGGCTGGCCTTGAACTCAGAAATCCACCTGCCTCTGCCTCCCAAGTGCTGGGATTAAAGGCGTATGCCACCACCGCCCGGCTATAATATCAGATTTTTAAAGAAACCAAAATTCTCACTGAGAATTTTGAACTAAGTCCTGTGTACAGTAAACATGTTACCAGCAGAGCCATTTTTGAGGCCCCATCACTTCACTTTTTTTTTTTTTTTACTTGCTCAGCCATCTTGCCCCTATAAAGTTATAAGAATTGTATTGATACCTTAATAGCATCATGAAACACCAAAAACTGCTCTCTTTCTTGTTAGTGTCTGATTGATTGTAGACTTAGTAAATGAGATACGTCTTCAATCTAAGGCTCTCTGCTTTGCAGAAATTTTAAATTTTCAATTGAGAATATTTCTCATGGGTAGTGTCTGTCATACATGTAAGAATGTTAACAAATCACCTCTGAAGATAAGGTGTTGTATCATGGTTACATGTTATGTCATAAATTATGAAACTTAGTAGAATGAAGTGTGCTATATGTATCTTAAAGCATTTTTGTTGTCCACAAATCTATAAACAGTAACATAGTCATAGTGACCATATTGTGATTTCCCTTCACAGATAACAAGTTGTGCTAGTACAGCCGTATAAATAATTCCTGAAGTCTCAGTGTAACATGGACATTAACAGTGATGACATATAAATACAGATGCTTGGAAATTAAGTACTAGGCGAAACACTTCAAAAGGTAAGAAAAGAGTGTGATATTCTCCAAGGCCAAGTGAGGCAGAAGTAATTGGCTAGTTTGGTTATTTTCAATGTATCGGGCTTTTAAGAAATATGTCCAGTGGAGCCTGTTTAAATGCTAGTAGAACTCAACTTTAAATACTGGTTCTTTTGTGAAATTAGCAGTAACAGATATTCTTATTTGGCAAATACAGTGGGTGATTCTCTCCTCCCGAGAATGAACCCTTCTCCTGAGAAATGTCTGGTACTGTGGCCAGAATTTTAGAGTGCTGTCCTTCCATATATTCACAAAGTCTCTGCTTCTGATGGTGGCCACCACTTCCTAGCACATGTCCTGCTTTGCTTTGTGAGGGACTTCTGCGGAGAACAGAGAAGTTACTGGTTGGAGTCTTCAGTATGAGGCTGAATTTTCAAGTCAGCTTACTATCTGTAGAATCATGTTTTCCCTGTGTCCCCTTCTTCATGTTAATTTAGAGCTTTAAACAAACAGGAAAATGATTAAGTAAAGATTTAAAAGGAGAGGTTTCATTTATAGTTGGTAGATCATAGACCTTATCCTGAGAAGCAATTTCTTCCTACTTAATTTTTTTATTGTAAATAGGAAAATTAATAAGAACTTTCAGAGGTAAATGTGTATACTAGAGTACAGTTCTATAGGGCATTAGAATGAGAATGCAAGTTTGAGAAGAAAGAGTAAAATCTACTTTAAGTATGGTGGTGCATGTCTTTAATTCCAGCACAGTGAAGGCAGAATGAGGTGAACTTTTGTGAGTTAGAGGCCAGCCAAGTCTATGTAGTGAATTCCAGGATAAACAGGCTCTGTAGAGAGGCCCTGTTTGAAAACCACCACCACCACCACCAAAAAAAAAAAAAAAAAAGAACCCAACAGGCATGATTATTTGTGTACACCTATAACCCCAGTGCTTGGGACTTCAAATTCAGCAACATGGGGGAAGTTTGAGGCTGCCTGGGCTACTAGAAACCCTATCTCGAAAAACTGGGCATGCTGGTTCACACCATTAATCTCAACACTCAGGAGTCAGAGGCAGGTGGATTTCTGTGAGTTTGGTTAGCCTGAGCTATATAGTGAGATGATGTCATTCCCACCCTCATCCCTCCCAAAAAAAACAAAAAAACAAAAAACAGACAAACATAAACCAACAAAATATAGCATTTACAGTTAATGTAGAGCTTATTATGTACATTAAATAATTATAATAGGCACTGAATAATCATAATACTTATAGATTCTGTTGGCTATAATTACATAGACTAGTACATCACCTTTAACAGTAATCTCTTTATTTTTTTACTAGGTAGAACCCTGATTTACAAGGTTTGATAATGGTATCAGTCCTTAATTATAATACTTCACTTAAAATAGTACCCATTTAAAAGTACCTGGTTTAATAGTTAGAGTGGCAAGATTAGTCATAAACATCTACTCGTCTTTTTTCTAGTAATGTTATTTGCGGATGGGCACTCCTACTAATAACCTAATTAGCTAGAGCATATAGTCTCTGAAAAAGATACCATAACATACTAGTAAAACTGCAGTTAAATATGATATGCCAAGAATTGCAATGTATTGACTTAATTAAAATACCAGACTGAGTATTCAACTCCGAAAACTCTTTGATTTTTTTTCTTCTCGTTGATAGTCTGTATGGCCGGGGTGGTGGCCCTGAGAATCCCAGTACTTGGAGGCAAAGGCAGAAAGGTCTCGAGTGTAAGGGCAGTTTAGTCTACACATCTCATTCCAGGACAGCCATGGCTATGTAGGGAGACCTTGTTTCCAAAACAAAACAAAAAAACCAACAACAAAAAAAGAAAATGGCAAAAAGTAACAGAAGCTTCCTTTAGTAGCTGAGTCTTGGAGCATGTTAGTGAATATTACGTGTGCTGTGTATGGTACAGAAGACTGCAGGCTGTATAGTTACCTAATGGTTTTTATTGTTTTTGAGCAGCTTTCAACTTTGGGTCTGGACCTCTTTAGGGGTTGGAGATCAGATATTTACATTATGACTCATAACAGTAGAAAAATTACAGTTATGAAATAGTGGTGAAAATGATTTTATGGTTGGAGATCACCACAACATGAGGGACTGCATTAAAGGGTCACACACAGTATTAGGAAAGTTGAGAACCACTGGTTTAGATCCTGGTTCTTATACTCAATCCTAAATCTAGGAAATCTTCTAGAAATCCTTTAGGTCATCTTTAAGAGGAGGGGAAAAGGAAAAAAAAAAAACAACCTTAGAATGAATTGTAGGAAAGAGCTGAGCCATGCTTTACTCAAGGTACTAATGGAGTTGTCTGTAAGGATTTGCTACTACACTGTTCTAGTTGGCTTCTTCAAGTTCTGCCTAGTTGCTTAGTGCCTCCTGGGGTTGCTCATCCTGAAGCACCAAATCATTACTTAAAGACACTGCAGCCTCTGTGTACTTTTATACTCAAAACAAATTGTTAGCATATGTTAATTTCCTTATTTAATACCTTTTTTTTTATCATTTTATTTTAAAGAGAGTCGTTTAAGAGGTTCTAGTGTTCTCCAAGGCTGAAGCTGAGAGTCTGAAAGCCCGAAGCTTAAACTCAATTGTAGATCATAATTCCATCTCCTTCAGGATATATAAGGAAAAGAAATGATATTTCCACAATGATAGATCTTTGGTTGTACAGGTAAGTTATTCAGTTTTGCAGTAGAGAAGACAACTGTAGCATGATTTTATTTTGGTGGGAGGAGATATGTTATTTTCCGTCAACCTTTCTTTAGGGAAAGGACTGAAGATTAAGTATTTTCCCTTTTTTATTTCCCAAAAAAGAGATAAATGAAATGACTTTGGAATCCTGAGAGACCAGTAAGCCTGCCTTTGAAATGTACATATTTTTTTTTAAAAAAAGAAATGTACATATTTAAGGAGCAGTGTGAAATGTTTTGTCTTCTTGGTTGTCTCAAATGTGTATATTCATTCAAATTACTCTCTCTGTCTGCCTACCTATACGTCTATCATCCTGTCAACCATCTATTGTTTCTGTCTTGATGACAATGGAGATTCAGTTATATATATATACTTGTGTAGTAGAATTTCCAAACTGGCAAGCAGTTATTATTATTGGCCTTCAATGAGTTGAGTGGTTATGGTCACAGGCGTTGTTTGGCTACAACAGAGTGAGAATTGTACAGCTGACTTGTCTTTTAAGAGTTTTAAGTTTTTAAGGCTACTCTGGGCAATATAGAATGTTCCAGGCTATCCAGTGCTGAATAGCAAGATTCTGTCTCAAAAACCACAACAGACCTGTGTGATAAGCAACACCTGAGCACAGCCTATGCTGTAGATGGACAGGAAAGTCATATTGGCAACACTTCTCACTCGCTCTTCCTCATTTTTTTTTTTTAACTTTGGCTTTTGTACCTGAAAATACACAGGTATTGTGACCAGTTTTCTATAAGTTGTTCACTTAATAAAATATGATAATCATATTGGTGTTGGTTGTGCATGGTGTTGTCTGCTTCCCAGAGGGAGGCAGAGGCAGGCAAATCTCTCTAAGCATGAGGCCAGCCTGGCCTAGACAGCCAGAGCTACATAGTGAGACCCTGTCTTAAAAATCCAAAATAATAATGATGATCTTGTTTAGTCTGTCCTGTTTCTTTTGGTTCTGATCCAGTTATGTGGGTATAGTCACAGAGACTAGAGGTTTATGATCTGAAAGAGCTAATGATGTTTTAGAATTTAATAGTTTTTATAAAAGTAGATTCAATTTTGGGGAAAAGTAGTTCAGTGGATGTCAGATAAGAGGATTTGTGGATTTAGGGGAGGTTTGGGACTCAGTGTGGACAGGCTAAAAAAGTTGGTTGGCTGGCCCTTTTCTGTCTCTTCAGTAGTTGGGGACTTAGGAGGATGGGGGAACACAGGACAAAGTGCTGTATTCCAGTGAAGAATCATACTCTTCCTGTTCTCTGCAGAACACTGCAGCTCATCAGTAGGTGGGTAACATAGGATAGATTTTGTTTTTATTAGTAGTTGGGTTTTGCCCACATGAAAGTGTTAATTCATGGTTTAACTCATGGTTTCCCTTCATTCTAAAACTATAGTAATACAATTTCTGTTACCAAGTATGTGTGGCTAGGACTTTCACCAGCTGTCTCTTACTTTAGTTGATTAGCAAGGGTGTTCCTGAGCTAGTTGGCAGATGGGTTCACTTCTAGTTCCTTAACTACTTCCTGTTTGACTAGAATATAATTATATGTCCAAACCTCTTCACCAGATTCTTTAGTGACTGTATTTAGGCAGAATAAGGAAAAGTACAGCTTTAGTCTGTACTACTTTGCTAAATAAACAAGCTTGGCAAAACAGTATTGAAATTTGGTTGGGATAATGTAGATATACTTAGGTAAAGTGTATATAACGTTAATTCAATCCAGGATAAATTTACAGTCTGTTGTTTGATACTTCTTTAGCCAAAATGATCATGGCCTTATTTTTAATGTTTTGTTTAGATCATCGCTATCGGGTAAAATATTAAAGAGAATTTTATGTCTAATTAGGCTTGCAACCTGATAATTGAATTATATGTTAGAATATGCCCCAAGGCATTGATCTCTGTGTCTCTCATACGCAACATGTATGAGTTGGCTGGAGAGGGCTTGACATTCTGCAGGTCTTTCTTTTTTCTTGGCTTTCCCCCTTTCTGTTCTAAGTACCAAACCCAGGTCTGGGTTTCTAGCAAGCTTCAAGACATGCTTCTAATGTGGACTCTCAAGCTATACTTGAGTTACAACAGTTTAAAGAACCAGGTAATACTTGCTGTAAAATGAGCTCTTGTTGGTCTCCAAAATTATTGTTTATTCTAGCATTTTTACAGTTTATTGGTCCTCTCCCAAGACAGCTTCTTGGTAATCACAGACCAGTAGTTGGGCTTTATTGTAATTGTTGCAAAGAACTAAAACCTTTTTAGGGAACAAAGACATGGAAAGGGCTTGATCTTTGATACTAATCAATGTTTTCATTTTATAACTGAAATCATGAAGAAAAGTGTAGGTATTCATAGGTGGTATTTGATAGAGATTTGCATTCATATTTGTGTGTACCTACACATGTGTATGTCTTTGTTAATTCCCAGTATTAATGACAGATACCTGATTTAATAGTCTCTTCTCTGGAAGTTGGATTCCAGAGGAAGAGACTTTGCTCCTTGTTCAGATTTCCACATCATGTAAGAGGTTTATATGCCTTTAATTGGCATCATTCATTAAAAAACAAAATTCAATGAGTTTCCAGTATTTTTCAACCACAAATTATGAAGCTTATTAAATTTGTATTTTATTTTATAGTTTGTTTATAAAATTAATTTTAGTTTTAGATTCATACTTACACAGATATTTAGTATATCACCTTCAACATTGAGAGGTCCAGATTTTGGTACATCAGCTAAATAAATTGCTTTTAACTGTTTTCAATTTTAACACATTTGAAGCTTAATTTATTGTAATTAAAAGTGGAAATTGATGGGGCTATCAGTATGTATTACCTGTGAGTAGAGTAGGACTCTCCTTGATGACATGATGTTACAAAGGTAAATGAGACACGTTCCTGCTGTGAGTGGTCAGACAGTGAAGTTCCTGTGAGGTGAGGCACTGTCTCTCTCCTGATGCTGTGTATACTATACTTACTGTTAACTTGATTTCCATGAGATTCTCTAGAACAAGTAAATGTGCTGTAGCTACAGATTTTGAAGTATGCCCTGCTTTGAAATGAAGCTAAATTCAACCAACTTAACACATTTCACAGAGTATTTTCTTAACTCATTGTCAGCAGGTCAGCAGCAGGAACAGGGAAGTGCTTTTCCTTAGTGGTTCCTTGTGTAACATGTTGCTGTGGTCATCTGTAGTTCCACCTTCTCCAGTATTAGGTATTTGTAGTTGAGGCCTTGAAGGGAACGGACTTGATTTGCATGGGGAGGAAATAAAATGGCATTAAAAGGATTCTGTGTGAGGGACATGGTGAAGTTACATTATAGCCATTATTGGCATTTAGCCATTCTGTGCTCCACTTGAAATTAAGCAATGAAGTGGCAAAATATCTAAGAAAACCAAATGGGTGGGACTTGGAATAATGATGCCTTTGTTCTTCTTGATAACATGAAGTTCTGGAAAATATTAACTCTTTCAGAGTTTACCCAGGTGGATCAATGAGGACTTACTCCAGCTTATAAAGTTAAGCATCCTTACTAAAAACAACCCGTTTATCTCCCAAACAATGAGTTCAAGCTATCCTACACTATACACAGAAATTTACAGCAAGAAAGAGTATGTGCATGTATGTGTAAAAATGCACACAAGTGTTATATATGTCAACTAATATTCCCTGTTTCTGAAATGACTATTTCCTTTTGAGGACAGCTACTGCTTTCTGTTCTCAGGATACCTTCAAGTAGTGACATGCTTTTCTCTAGAGATGGCAGCTTTGCTTTGCTGTGGTGTTAGCCAGTGCAAGCTACTGTTATGACTTCTGTCCACTATATAATTACAGAAATTCATAGCAATATCTCAAAAGTACCCTTACTACCTCATTATTAAGGCACTTAATTAACCTGAAAAAAAAAAACACTTTAGTAGAAACCTTAAGACTGACTGGAATGGCTTCTGGAAGATAGATGGTCTGTAACTTCAAGAGTATTACTTTAATAACCAAAATGAAACAGTTATGATCACTTCTGGGTACTTTGCACTATTCTGAGAGGCAAAGAAACAGTGAACATGGTCTTCAGAGTTCTGTCTGAGCTGACTTTATGTCTGTCAGTACACTGTGCCTCAGTCTCCTCAATTGTAACTTAGGTACAATAGACCTGTCTGAGTTGTCTTCAGGGAGTAAAGGTATGTTAAACATATACATGGCATCCCAGAACATATTAAATGGTATTTGTTAGCTATTACTAACATCATTATTGGAAACTTTAATAAAATAACCTTTATCCCATTATTTATTGATAATGGCTATACTTGGATAAAAAGTTACAACATTATGCTTTTGTTTTAGATATATTAACTATTACCTTTTTCTCATTATTTTGTTTACATTTTTGAAGGTTTCCCAATGAGTGGATCATGATGACCGTATGGTAGGGACTTGCCATAGTATGGCTGCTTCCCGATCTACTCGTGTTACAAGATCAACAGTGGGGTTAAACGGCTTGGATGAATCTTTTTGTGGTAGAACTTTAAGGAATCGTAGCATTGCTCACCCAGAAGAAATCTCTTCTCATTCTCAAGTACGATCAAGATCACCAAAGAAGAGACCAGAGCCTCTGCCAATTCAGAAAAGCAATAATAACGGAAGAACTTGTGATGTAAAACAGCAGAGTGCTCGAGAATCATGGGTAAGCCCTAGGAAAAGAAGACTTTCTTCTTCAGAAAAGGATGACCTAGAAAGGCAGGCCCTAGAGAGTTGTGAGAGAAGGCAGACAGAGCCAGCACTGCCAGTCTTAAAGAACATTAAACGCTGTCTTAGAGCTGAAGCCACAAACAGTTCAGAAGAAGATTCGCCTGTAAAACCAGACAAGGAGCCAGTAGAAGACAGGAGGACAGTAGTGGACCATGATGCAGACTTTGAAGGGGCTAACCGAGCTTGTCGATGTCTTATATTGGATGATTGTGAGAAAAGGGAAGTTAAAAAGGTGAATGTCAGTGAGGAAGGGACACTTAATGCTGCAGTAGTAGAAGAAATCACAGGCTATTTGACTGTCAATGGTGTTGATGACAGTGACTCAGCTGTTATAAACTGTGATGACTGTCAGCCTGACGGGAACACTAAACAAAATAACCCTGGTTCCTGTGTGCTGCAGGAAGAATCAGTAGCTGGAGATGGGGATTCGGAAAGCCAGACTTCAGTGTTCTGTGATAGTAGGAAGGAGGACAGTTGTATAGACCATTTCGTGCCTTGCACAAAGTCAGATGTGCAGGTCAAGTTGGAGGACCACAAACTAGTAACTGCCTGCCTGCCTGTGGAACGTCGGAATCAGCTGACTGCTGAGTCAGTTTCAGGCCCTGTTTCTGAAATTCAGTCATCCTTAAGAGATTCTGAGGAAGAAGTAGATGTGGTGGGAGATAGCAGTGCCTCCAAAGAGCAGTGTAATGAGAACAGCAGTAACCCTCTGGACACGAGTTCTGAACGAATGCCAGTCTCTGGAGAGCCAGAACTGTCCTCTAGGCTAGACTGTGTTTCAGCTCAGATGACATCTTTATCAGAACCTCAAGAACATCGATACACCCTGAGAACTTCACCTCGAAGGGCAGCCCTGACCAGAGGTAGTCCCACTAAAAACACATCTCCTTACAGAGAAAATGGACAATTTGAGGAGAATAATCTCAGTCCCAATGAAACAGACACAACCGGTAGTGATAATGTAAGTGAGTCTCCCACAAATCCTGTCGAAATTTCTCAAGATGAAAAGGTTCCGTGTTGTGACTCTGAAAACTATGGAAGTGAAGGACTAAGTAAGCCACCCTCAGAGGCCAGAATGAATATTGGACATTTGCCATCTGCCAAAGAGAGTGCCAGTCAGCACACTGCCGAAGAGGAAGATGATGACCCTGATGTTTATTACTTTGAATCAGATCATGTGGCACTGAAACACAACAAAGAGTATGTGTAACTATGGTAACCATGAGTTCTGCTTTGCTTATCACTTCCCAGGGTTTCAGTATTTGTTAATAAATGTCTGTACTTAATGCTTTTATTACAGATGACATTAATACTTTAGCAATAAGTTCAGATTTAACATACATTTTTTAACTTAAGCTAAGAGACTTGATGTTTTGACGTTGAACTTCATTACTGGTAGTTGAAATTTTCTAGTGCTGGTGTCCCACGTGTCTAAATGAGGAAGGACTGATGGAAGCATGGCTGGTGTCGCAGAGAGATCAGTGTAAATGGGAGTGGTGGTGACACTAGGGCTTTCAGTGCTGAGTCGTCCCTTGCAGCTCACTCTGCCTTCTACTTGGAGGGCTGTGTCATGCCTGCCTTTCCAGTATGGGTAAAATCAGTGATGAGCATGGAGCTGGCATCCAGCTGCTGGGAACCTAGCATATACTTCAGTCCCCGTTGCGTTTTTTGATTTAAGAATGTGTTTGATCCATTATCTTGGCAGCGTAGAGATATAGATAGTGCTGTTAACATTGTGATAGTGATATTTGACATAACTCTAATTAGTACTGTTGTTTTCTAAGCCCTTATTACAAAGGTTCTTACTGCAAATAATTCTGTGTCCAAAATTGTCCACAATTTTCCTCACTTACTTTAAAGTGTTCGAGAGAGTAACACAAATGAATCAGAGCTGTCTAAATAATTCATGAAGGACCTGTATAAAGTGTTCATCAAAACTCTTTGTTTTTTGAGACAGGGTTTCTCTGTGTAGCCTTGGCTGTTCTAGGACTCACTCTATAGTCCAGGCTGGCCTTGAATGCAGAGATGTACTGACCTCTGCTCCTGAGTGCTGGGAATAGAGCTGTGTACCACTAATGCCTGGCTCATCAAAACCATCTTAATGAATAACAGTGACAATTCCTCTCGTAGGTCAGCTTTTCAGCTACTATCATAAAGTCAGATTATATTAGTTGTTCAAAAATAGTTGGATTTGAGAAATATTTCTAATGTCTTTTGTGATAGATGCTTGATCAAGTGTCCTATCAAGGCTATGGGACACTATCTTTTTGCCACATTTATTAGATCGATCAGGACTTTAATCTGGCAGTACTGTGGCCTTTTATCATACATCTCCTTTCTGGAAAAAAAAGAGGGTTTTTTCTGTGTTCTTTTAAAATTGTGTTTTAATACTGTGATTTACAAAAGAATTTTCCCTGATGTTTTACAGTTTTTAGGTTATGAGTTTAATATAGTTAAGATCAGTTTGAGGCAGAAAAACATAATCGCATAAAGGAAAAATTTCAGGTAGAATTGAGATGAACTGGTGCATGGTGCCAAACCAACAGTGTTTCAGCATGAGAGGCTAAGGCAAGAAGGTAGCCTGGGTCATATAAGGGAACCCTGTCTTGAAAACCCAATAAACCCAAACAAATCAACAAAAACAAATGTTTTCCATGTATACATAATCTTTTTTTTTTTTAAGGTTTTTATTTGCAGGAACAAGGAAGATGTATGTTTTAGAGGAATAATTAAAACCTCAAAAAGTATGATATTTTGCTTTCTTAGTTTTGGAATGGGGATGCCTGTGTTACCGAGGTTGGTGTTGAATTGTGAACACAAGTGATTCTACTGCTTTAGCTCTCTGAGAATGTGGGAGTTTGAGCTTGCGTGACCATGGCCAGCTCCAGTTTAAACAAATGTGAATTTCTTTAGATTTATTTCTTCTGAACTGAGAGCCTGGCAAGTGTGAGGCACACATGGTATGTTAGAAAAGACCTCTAGCTCATGACCTTTAAAACTGGAAGTTTAGCATTGTCTACAGTATTTATGAATACTCTTCCAGAAAGAAGTAAGTCATATTTCCTGATGCCAGTTAAAGTAGGTTATTATAGTCGGGCGCCATAGTGCACAAATACATATCTACAGACCCCATCTCACAGTTTTAGTAGAAAACGCTGCGGTTGCCATAATACTGCTAAGTTAGGAGGCGCTGACTCTACCTGTTCTAGTTAAAATTTTCCTCTAAGCTAGCAGTAATGATTTAATTGGCAGCCTTCACCTTGTCCTTTTAATTTATCCATCTGTTTAAAAGACCCTCACTCTGATGTTGAGCAGGTACTTTAAGAGTCCTAGCTTTAGTCCTGGTTCATCTCACGTTAGGTGACAGCACAGAGAAAGGAGTCTTAAGTGTTTGAGGTAATTAGCTATGGCTCATATTATACTTTTTACTTTTTCCCCAAATAGAGAACTACACTTGCTCAGTGAGTAAGGGGGCTTCCTGATAGGAACTTCCCTCATTGGTTTGTCCTCTTGCACACATCTCAGTTTTGCATTGTCTGTTACCTGGGCTCTGAAAAAGTTACTACTTCTCCATCACAAGAGTCAGTCAGTGTCAGTTACTGTGCCATGGCTGTGAATAGATGCTTCTGAAGATGTATGAATCTGTGAGAGCCTGAATGAGTTTATGATGTTCATAAGTGGTTGTAAGACTGCTAATGTGGGTGCTAGAAACTGAACTCAGGTCTTCTTCAAGAGCAGTGAGTGTTCTTAACTGCTGAGGTATCTTTCCAGACCTTCACTTGGATTAATTTTATTTTGAAAGTTTATTTTAGATACTTAATTTAATTTATATATGAGTACTTTGCCTGCATGTTTGTGTGTGAGCCACTTTACGTGCCTGCATGTTTGTGTGTGAGCCACTTTACGGTTCCTTTGCAAGAGCATCAGTTGCTTTTAGCTGCAGAGCCATTTCTTTAGCCTCCTGCTGTATTATGATTGCTTCATTCCTCTCTCCTTCCCCTCTTTCTTTTCTCCTTCCTTCTTTTTATTTTGAGACAGGGTTTCTTTGTGTATGTAGCCTTGTCTGTTCTGGAACTCTCTGTGTAGACAAGGCTGGCCTTGAATTTATAGAGAGCCACCTACCTCTCTCTGCCACTCAGGTGCTGTGGGATTAAAGGCATAAGCCACCACCATTGGCTCACTCTTTTCTTATCCTTTCTTCCTTTCTTCCTTTCTTCCTTCCTTCCTTCCTTCCTTCCTTCTTTCTTTCCTTCCTTAGTTTTTTTTTTTAAAAGACAGGGTCACTATGCATCCGTGGCTGTCTTGGAAATCACTATGTAGGCCAGGCTGGCCTTCAACTCACAGAAATCCACCTGCCTCTGCTGGGACTAAGGGCATGTGCTGTCATGCCCAGCTTGACTTAATTTTGATGTACACTTGGGGGTATTTCCTCTTTAATGATACCCCTTCTACCTGCTGGTTGACTATTTAGAAATATTAATTACCACTATTTCAGATACTGAGGGTTGAATTTGGGCTCTATTAAACTTTTACCTCCTGCCCTGAAGATTATTTTTTTATTGATATTCTTTGACATTTAAAATAAAAAAAAGGCAAATTGAAACATTGGAATAATAGGAATTATAGTTGAAGAATAAAGTTAGCTATTACTTGAAATATGTTGTTAGATATTGCAGTGAATAGAGCAGGAGTTAAAATTAGATCACTGGTTGAGATAAAGTTCACAAGGATGAGCAAGAGAAAGTTCCATACAAGAAGACATAAAACTGTACTAGGTTTGAAAAGTAACACTTTGAGATTAAATAGTGTAATATCTTTGGATTTTTGTCCCTTTTCTTACTGCTTAGGACTTTTGGTGGACTGTGTCCAGTGTATACTATGTTTAGAAAGGCATGCGAATGTCCTCCTTTATATCAGTGCCAGTGTACTCTAATTTCTAATACATGGCCTTCAGTTATCTTATTTTTTATCTATATGGATACTTTGTGTACATGTATGTTTGCATCATGTGTGTCCAGTGCTGCTGGAGATAGTAAGAGGGAGTCAGGCCTCCCTGAGACCAGAGTTAGAGACAGTTCTGAGTCACCATGTGCAAACTAGGAACCAAACTTAGACCCACTAGAAGAGCAGCTTGTGCCCATTCTCACCCACTTCTCCAGCTCCAGATCTTTTTTAATAAAATTAACTAGTGGAATGTGCTGGTGCTACCACTTGGGAGGCAGAGACAGGCAGATCTCTTGAGTTTGCGGGCAGCCTACATAGTTACAGAACAGCCAGAGCTACATAGTGAAGCCCTGTTTTGAGAAATAAAATTTTTTAAAAATTAACTGGACTATCTCACAGTTGTTTTCCCTAATACTTTTAGCCATTTAAGTTAGAATTTTTTGATTCACCTTTATTTTGCTATTTTTTACATTTCCTATGTTATCGTTCTGGTTTAGTTCTGTAGTGTACTATCAGGTTCTTAAAATACATAGCATATATTCTTTGAAGGAAAGTTTCATGGTTACAGTTTATTGGTAACGAGGTTATGAAATGAGATAAACTGGTTGTAGTTAAAATGAAGTGTCTTTTTCCTTCTGATTAACACTTGATTATGAATTTTACAAATTTAGTGTGATACTCAAAAATGTATGCATTATGTAAGGGTCAGATTAAGAGAATGGTTACATCCATCAACTCTCAGTGTTGAGGATATCATGCCTCTTGGTTTGAAGTATGTCCTGATTTGGTCAACAACAGTTAACTCTGTTCTGTAGAACACAAACCTTTCCCTCACTGGGTTCATTAGCCATCTTCCTCATGGCCAGGTCCCCAGTGTCTCCTGAAGTAGCCGAATACACCCCAGAGCAGCCACAGTTATGGGAGGAGCCAAGGTACAAGTAGAGCGTGCATTTCGTAGAGCTTTCTGAAGTTATAAGTAGATAAGATTTGCATGTTTTAAATGGTATCTCATTCAAGTGTAGACTCAAGTTAAGTTCCTTACAAAGGCAGTGTCGTTGATTGTACCAGACAGGAAGAGCATGCCCGTTTCCATCCTGGTGGGAGGTCCAGCAGACACCATAAGAGCTGATACATCACCTGTATAATTGTAGCCAGTATATTGTCCTCTGAATGTACTTTCTCTTTGCATTGCACCTTGGTTTTGATACTACTCAGTCTTAATTACTGACCTTTCTTTTCCTCCTCTGGGTTTCTCA